GAATCTGAATCACTTGAAAAAATCACGGGGGTGTTTAACTTTTTTCCAGGTGTATATATAATTAAAATTTTGATCCTCAAGTATAAACTGTATACATATTTAAAAAATTAAGATTTTGCTTTAGATTGCAATAGGCCAAGAAATTGGTCACAAGAATATTACAATATTGTTTCAATGTACCTTAAGAAATGCAAGCTCAGTACATTTACTGGTTATTTTAAGATATTTTTGAGTAGCATATATTAATAGTGGAATTGTGTTTTGTGGGAAAGCAAATTTGATGCTAACATTTGGTACATAGAAGAAAAAAAAGATGCATAATAAAATTATTTTCATACTCAACAAGAAGCTATGTAATCAACCTTCCATTTTAAAGTTAATGTTTAAATGAGGTGGAAAAAGTTCATGGACATTAATGTCACTCTGTTTAAGTGTGCACACACACAAAATTTAACCAGTTTTTCTCAATGTCTATTTGCAGGTTTCTGAAGTATGTAATTCCAAGAAACAAGATCAAATAGTTCTTCTGACACCTGTGCAGTGGGATTCTATTTTGAGAATTTTTAATGACCCCCAAAGCTCACAACAGATAGCTTATATTCGAGTAGCTGGAAATTCTCAAACATCAAGAGGAACTGTAAAATTAAAAGTCATAACATCTTCAAGCTCTACTGCAGTTTCATCGCCATCTTCAGCAGAACACTGTGGGAAGGTGCCTATGGTACAAGAAAAGGCATTCGTCTCTCAGTCAAGTAATAAATCATGTGTATCCGACTATTCTCAACCATTTCCAGCTCAAACTTCAGGTGTAATTGAGATAACTTCTCAGAATTTATCACAAGCTGCAAGCAATCACACAGGTGCACCAACTGTTCTTTTAAGCCAAACACAGATGAGTTCAAAGATGAATGAGTCATCAATGTTGAACACTCCTTCGAACAACAGTTAAGTGCAATATCTACCCCCCCCCATTAATGTGTAAAGTTTTAGTTAATGTGTTTGTGAAAGTGCATTTCCCATAGTCACTTTAAAGTTTTTAAAATCTGTTTTAACATTAGTCATACATTCCCTCATCCACTTTGTGAACTTTTTTAGGGTTAGACAAATTTCAACTTATATTTTCCTCCATAGATCTCTTGAGAATTTTGGGTTAATATAAAATATTTTTATATAGTTTACCTGTAGATTAGGATAGTTTATTGCTGTTAATGGGTTTGTAACAAGGCTACTTGAAATACCAACATGTATTTTGATGCTTTTTAACACTACTTATTAAGTCACAGATTAGCTAATACCCTCTTCCTATTTGATTGACATGGATTCTTCATAACTTGAAAATGTTACAGTAAACTCTTTAATTATTGGCAAACATTACAACTTTTAGAAACTTGTACTGCCTGTTACAGTGACAGAAATGAAATACCATTGTTTTATGTATTTTATTTTTTCAACTTTTAATTCAACTCCCAGACTATATCTTTAATACACACACAAGGTATGACTGAGGTGATTTTTGTTTTTAAAATGTATTTTTTTTACATGTCTTTAGATCTATATGAAAGTACAACGTAGGATTTCGTTAGGTTTTGAGAATATTGTATCTTCACATTCATGCTTTTGTGTTTATGACATCTGGTAAGGATAGTTGAGGAAATTAATTCAAAGTATCTACAGATAGAAAACATGCAATAAATTTACTTTCCTTTATTGTGAACATTTTCATTGTAAGAGAGAAAATGTATAGTGAAATGAACAACATCAAATCACTGAAAATAGCTGTTGTAGGATGATAATACACCTTTAATACCAAAGTATAATGAAGTAACAGGAAACCCTGCCCAACATAGCAAGAGGTTAAAAGGTGTAAAAATGATGTGTGAGATTTTCAAAAATATCATGACTGGCATTGCCACATTAGATATGTGATAAATTTCTATGGTTTACATTACTTTTGGTCCACCTTACTTTGATTTACTATTCAGTATAAATCAATGTTAGTTTGATTCATATGTCTTCATAGAACAACTACATAAATACATCATATATATATATAAGCTCTAAAAAGTCTAAGTCCATTTTAAGAAGAAAAAAAACTCATCTGTATAATGAATCATATTTTCTAAATTTTGCATTCCTAGTCAGTTAAATTTTTTCAAGGCTATCCATTTTCAAACAAAAAGTAGCCAAAAGTTAATTACAAATCTAGTACTTAAAATATATTGTTTATACGAACATTTATAATTTTAAGTAAGTGCATGTCATCAGTATTACACATCTAACAACATACATATGACCCCTGTTTTTTAATGAATCCTAACACATTCATCAGTTTCTAATGAACATTACACTTGGTGGAAATTCTCAGTACTGTTTTAAGAAGTATCTGAGAAACAAATTTAGTGTTATTTTTAATTATTTATATAAAATTCCACAGTTAACAATATTTTACGTATCTAAAAAATGAAATTATTTGATCTCTTCTAACAAGTTCAAAAAGCAGTAGGAAGAAAAAAAACAACTGCACATAATATAATGAGACAGAATTTTGGTAATGATACATTTAAAATAGTTCAAAAACCATAAACACAAAATGGTAAAAAGTGTAATCTTTTAGAAACAAGTTAAAAAAATAGTATGCTAGATAGTGACTATTCATATACAACCAAGAATTACTTCAACATTTTGGGAAGAAGCAAGATAGAAGCATAATAAATCTGCACCACACAAGGACAAATACTGGTTATAGCAGGATTGTAATTACAATTAATATTCACTCTCCTGTACTCATAAGCTGTGGGGAATTATCAGAGTGGTTCTTGTGTGTGTTAACTTGACTAGTGTATAAAATAGAGTCAAGGTCAAAGGATAAAGTTGGAAGAATTCAAGTATTTTGTGTAACATTAATTGTATTTAAATAATGTGGTTAATATGGTGTACAGATAGCAGCTTTATAAAAATAATTTGTTTAAACCTTGTTTATATTTTTGATAATGCTAATTGGAAGGGTATGTATCAAATTAATTCATTTCTGCATAGTTTTTGTGTGTGTGTGAGACTGAACATTTCATTGAACATCTCAACGTTATGATCCCATACCTTCAATCTTAAAAACAAAGTTAGTATTGTTGTTATAAATGGATTTCACATTTTATTTCTTGCATGATAATACTGATTATCTGTGTGTACTTCTGGATTTAGTTTAATAACAAGTTATATTTGAATAAGCATTATCAATCAAGTTCGATATTTTATAATATTCTTAGTTTAAAAAATATTTTCTTTAATGCTAATCATTTCTACCCAAAGGCTTTTTTTTTATCAGTCATGCATTGACTTAAATAATTTCATAAAATTATTTGTGCTAATATTTTGAGCCTTGCATTAGACAGAAGTTAAGATTTGTATAGAGTATATTTATATTTCAAAATACTCAACCGTAATTTTGAAATTTACAACTTGGCTATTCATAATAAGCTTGTAATGAAATTATTTGATCTTTTACCAAATTCAAAAACTTAACAACTGCACACAATTTTGAGTTTTACCAGACAATAGGATTGGAAAATTCCTAATTTTTAAACTATTTTGATTTCTTTAATGTAAAACATTTTTCCTACACATAAAAAATGTATGTATTTTCTGGACATCTGTGTCTCAGCTGAACATAACAGCCAGTATTCCAACACTTCACAAGGTACAATCACCTTCCATCTACATTGGAGTGAATGGGCAGCCACTGTCCAATTTTTAGTTTGTCACCACGAACCAGAAGTCCCATCTACAGTTTTTAGTTGCCCATTTTTGAGAGCCCTAACTGATCTCATGTTTTATAAAATCTTTTGAAACCTTACTTACCCATATACCAAATGGTAGATTTGGGCAAGGAAGTTTATAATATTTTTTTTTGTTATAAAATAATAACGCAAATTTTTCACACCTACAATTAAATTACTGCTGTTTTATAAAAAATACCACAACATTGGTACATATTAAACCACTTTCTATTTGTGTTATAATTTGATGCTCTACTTTTGCCAGGAAGTTCTACTGACAAATTACATATAATTTTTATGTTTATATAATAGAATCAGTTATGTTTATTAATATAGGTGGGAATCAAAACTTTATAGGTATACTTTTGTATGTAATATATTTTGTTAATCTTACGATTTTAAATTGATGTGGACAAATATTACTAAGAATATCCAGATTTCTATGGTGTATATTTCAATGACTTTTTTTTATTATTGTTATTGTTCTTTTTGTTGCACTTTTCAGTCTCCAACTTCCTTACTTTCTCCTGCATGAATCTGTTGTTTATTCTTATGCATGAATCTGTTGTTTATTCTTATGTGACATTAAATCTGTTGGTATCCATGCTCAATAAAGTCATGCTGGTGTCTATAACACAGTGAATTACTTTCCTCAATTAATTTGTATTTCACTGAAATTTCCAGTCAAATAAAGACTATTTTATAACATAAGAATGAAAAAGTCAAATATCTGATACATCGGCAGGGTACAAATTTTGCCATAAAATATCTCTTAGCTTCTGCTACGTTAAAATTAAATTTGTGCCAGTAGTATATTTCATAATGAACTGTGTTTTCAACATTATAAAATACAGGTTTAAAAGAAAATCTTGACTTTGTACATATATAATTAGTTTAGATAAGCATTTTATTCAGGAATTTTTAAACAAATTGAAAGAAAGCAGAAACAAAACCTTTAAAATGAGAATACTGTTTTCCCCAAATTCATCAATTTTGGAAAATTGCAAAGCAATTGATAAAACCATAAATTTCAATAGTAAACAAATAAGGGTTATATAAAAACCTACAAGGTAAAACTTGTGTAAAAAATAAAACATATTTACCCTAAAATTATAAGAGGATTTGATTAATATGTTCATTAAAGTTCTGGACAATTATCAAAAAGTAGTAAGTGGAAGTTTTGATGTTCACAATTCTCATTTTATATTATTGACCGAAATATACCTGAAATCAACTGGACAAAATAACTATTACTTCAACCTCACATCAGCTCACGAGAACAACCTATTAAGACTTAATTACGTTTCACTACAAACCTACACCATTTTCTGTCTTTGCAGAGAAAGTAAAGATTGTTATTAGTCATAATAACTTTCCATCTCGTTCCATCTTCCTGCCAATCAGGCCACTTATTTTGCCATAGGGGAGGATCGCCACTATTTAACCAATGAGCACAAAGAAGGCATCTGTCAAGTGGTTTATTGCCCAAGTCAGAAGTAAAACGAATCTTAAGGCATTCATCATCAGTTTGTTCTTTATTTAACGATATATTTTTTAAAGTTTCATCTAAATAACTTTTCACTGATTTTTCACTTATTCCCACGTATAAAATTTCTTCAGCGTTAGCTATTATAAAAGCGCCAGGTTTGTTATCAACTGGTAGCTTAAAAACATCTTTTTCTAGCAAATTCCAAGGACCGAATACAGCATTGCAATACTCGCATTCGGAATGTTGCCAGTAACTACACGAGGGCACAGGTCTAAAACAGTTGTATGTTTCTTGCTCAGATGTCATTATTAACACTATTTAAAAGCAGTTACAATCCAGACTATTATAACATAATATAGTAAGAGCTGATCTATCGTATTAATAGTATCGCAGCTATGATTCGTTTACAAGCCGCAGCGGTTAAGATACGAGACCATTGTTTATTCAAGCGCACGTCAACGTGTAGGTGTACCCGTAGGAGGAAACCCAGCAACATGTACATGGGGAAAAGTCCGCTTGTTTCACAATTTCAGCAATAAATAAATAAAGGTTTAGTTCATTAGAAGTTACGCACAAAGCTACAAAATGGTTATCTGTGCTCTGTCCACCACAGATATTGAAACTTAGTTTCTAGTATTACAAGTCCACAGACATACCGCGATGCCACTAGAGGCTAATACATAAAGAAGCGAAAATCCAAGTTTTAATAATTTCAACTTGCTTTTTATTTGAACGCATAACAATAAAAATAGTTTCACCTATTAGGAAATTTTTTCTAATACGGAATTTAGTTAAAAAATAAAATAATTTACCACTTAAAACTAATAATCCTCTACTAACAAATGCCTTGACTGTAAATATGTCCGCGAACTACCTTTCACCTCTTTCGAATAAATGGAGGTGTTAAGTCTCAATTGATTTTCCGTAACTTCGTTCCGACGAAACTTTAGCGACACAAGTCCTTACTTAATAAAACTGGTTTATTCTTT